ACACACACACACACACACACACACACACACTGTGTATGAGCAGAGGCTGCAGCTCGAACTCAGCCTCGCGCCGCACTGGTTCGAACCGGCTGGAGCTCGCGCTGCCTTCACGTGCGGTGGTGTTTTTTTTCGTTGTCCACTCAGATACTCTACAATGATATTTATTAATTTTTTTTAAAAACCAGAATGGATTCACACACTCGCTTGGTCAGAGAAATGTATTTCTTTTTTCTCTCCATAAAAAAGGGAACCTCCTGCAGCCAGTGGAGTCCCGTGGCTGTTGTGTTGTTCTCACCAAACTAATTGGTGCATTATCTTATGATCGTTTGTTTGTTGGCTGTGAAATTTAGAGTTTTCTTCTTCAGCTGTGGAATTTGGTTCTACCATATACATGGGACCCCCCCAAATCCCAAAACACACACACACACACACACACACACACACACACACACACACAGAGACGCAGGGGAGTTAAACGCAACATCAACCTCACGTGTAGCAGCTGCATGCTCTATGTCACCATCAGCCAATGGGAGGCGAGCTCAGAAACCCACAAACCAATCAGATGCGTCAGTGGGCGGGACAGTTTAAGATTTATGTGGGGGGGGGGTGCTTCTGAAAGGCCTCAGCTGTTTTCTGTTGGAGTCTTGTGGAGTAGACCATCATCAACATCCTCATCAGGCTGAACAAAGACGTGTATGTGCTGCAGAGCACTTTAACATGAAGTGAATGTTTTCTAATGTACAATAAAAAGCAGAAGTGTAAACACCACTGTTATCTCTGAACGCCTCCTTGTTTCTGTTCCTCCAGCAGCCTCCCTCACCTCCAGTCAGGCCGGTGCACTGCTGCCTCAGACCCAGCTGAGATGGCTCCCACCCTGGCCACAGCCTTCTCCCGCCGCTGGTGGATGGCGGTGACAGCCGTCATCGAGAACCTGCTCTTCTCTGCCGTGCTGCTCGGTTGGGGATCCCTGCTCATCATGCTCAAGTCTGAGGGCTTCTACTCGTACTTGTGTAAAGAACATGGTGAGGCGGCTTCACACAGGATTTCACATGTGACAGATGAGGTTGAGAGGGTGTTAGGGTGAGAGGAGCTCTGAGTCCAGCTGATGTTTCACATCTACACTAGTAGTTTCCAACGAATAGAAACAGTGTTTGAGGTTTGGAATCCGTGGATTCAGATCTTTGAAGAAAATGATTTCATACTTATTTCATGTAATAACATATCAGACAGGTGACTGCATGTGATTAAGCAGAGATAGATGACATATATTCTAATTAATTAAACTGATTGATAGAGACTGTAAATGTCGCTCTGAGGCTACATCCACATGTTTCTTTTAAAAACTCATCAACTCTGCTGCGCCTGACGTCCACACTACCCCAGAGTTTTAGAGCCTCCGAGAAGTTTGGAAGCGCGACCTTCCCCATTTTAGTTTGAAAACTCTTGGGCTGTGCTAACGACCAGAAACAGAGAAGTTTGGAAACAATGATTTAGACAATATAGCCTTTGCTGATTCGTCAGGCTCCTATCACATGACGCCTCCAGAAGAAAACAACTGTCATGCAGTTAATGATACAGCTGTTTACAGGAAACAGAATATTATTCAAGCAGTCTGTGTCCAGCAGCACATTCATGTACGAGACATGGGCGATCCCGTGATACATGTTTTCAGGCGTGTAAGTATGCACATGAGAATATTTGTCATGCAAAGAAGATGCATGTCGCTCATCTCAGGAGCAATCCGTCCTGTTAGCAAGTGATCAGAATGTTTGTATGGGATGCTAATTGGCCAAGAGTGCCTGTCGACGCCCTGAGTGTCATTTGAGCTGCTGTGAAGGCTTTCAGCAGATCAGGGGTATTATACTCTGAGTGGGTGTGGTGAGATTAAGAACATTTAAAGACACACAAACAAGTCAACCCCCTGCATATTCTGCAGCTCTCATTGACTTTACTCGTAGGTGTTATTTCCTCTGTGACCTTTGAAAGAATCAGCCTCTTGTGTATGAGCTTGCACACTGGATTCATATTGATCCAACAATTGGGATGTCCTTGAGGAAGACAAGTCAATAAACCAGCGGCAGGCCGGACTGGGAACAAGATTGAAAAGCAGCCGTGAAGTGCTGCTGCACAACAAGTGAAGCGGACGCTCAGATTAGTTTGTCTCATTGTGCTCGACTCTCTGCACTCGCCGGCTCATTTGCAGTTTGTGTTGGTTTCTGTCAGATTATTGCTTCAGTTTGAGAGATTTCTTCTTCCTCCAGAGAGTGATGTGGAAGCAATCCTGTAAAACATAACAACAACATAGTAAAAGCCCACTTCATCGTCACCGGTGGGTGTTTGGGTCGTCTTCATTGCCAGGAGCAGAAGGATGTGTGAATGAGACCATTCATCCCTCCATTCTCCACAGTGGGCACTGTTTTTCTGTCTCTTTGATCCTCTTATCGTCTCTGTCTGTGTTTTCCCTCAGTCCGTCTCAAAGGAACAGCGATGAAAGCCCTGAGGGGTTAATTTGTGCATTTGATAGTGGTTTGATCGCTCGCACAGATTCATTAGCTCCATCACATGACATTGTGTGAGGACACCGCTGCCATTGTTACTGTGTTTCCAGAGCGCAGAACATTACTGTAGAGCTGCAAGAAGCCTGTCTCGCTGATTATTTTCTCATTTGTGGTCTATCAGAGGACACAGCCTGTGTGATCTGTCCTGAGTGGAAAGCGGAGGATGCACTGATCTGATTGGATGAGGTTCAGGTATCTCTTTAGACAATACAGAGACATTTGCAGACATGAAGTCCAAACTTTTCCTTTCATAAATGAAGAACGCAGCAGGAATTCTCTGGCTCAGACATTTTCACAACAACCGAAAAACATCTGGAATGTTCAGGCAACGGGTGGTAGAGCAAAGCAGGGGACAGGACATGTGCTTTTATTTACAGCACCAGCGTCGGCCTTTATCACCAGAAGCTCTCAATTCTTGTCGTCTCTCCGAGTTGACACCTTCCTCTGCATCTTGTTCCTCTTTTCACCTGGAGATATTCCCTTTTTTCATTTTAACGTTTGTCACATGTCAGAAACATCATTCACAAGCTGAGGATCCTGAACACAGCCTCACGCTTTATTGGGCTCACTCTATCATTTTGCTCCCAGACCCCGAGTAAAAACTGAAAGCAGCTCAGGTCTCCACTTCCTCATCCCCCACTCTGTTACTGATTCTGTGGTGTTGAAACTGCAGTTCTCGGTAGCAGATCGTAGCTGTGATCGCGAGGGGCCACATCCACTGTTTCTGTGTATTTGTTTGCACAGTCACGTTCACACTGTGCAGAAGTTAGTAGAATTGTGAGCTGTGTCCAATCTCAGTCTAAGAAGAGATCAGTTCACATTTGACACAGTTATTGGTCGCTGTAAAGAAACGGCCTCTCTGTAGAGTTAGGTATGAAAACTTATTGTATGTGATTGATGAGGAACAGAATTTAGTATTGATGTGTGACGCTGTCTTTTTGGAAAATTCTTCTTTGTGCAGCTTTGTTGTCAACATTACGTTTTCTTTAACCCTGTAAAGTGCATCGTCTGAAACTGTTCGGTTCTCAAAAGAAGAAGACTGAACGCTCTGTGAGTTTAAACAAGGGAACAATGTGACTCACAATGCCGGTCAGGCACAATGCATGCTGGTAGTTTATGAAGGTTAGTGAGTCCTTTGTTCCCCTCTCTTAATGCTTTGTTGCCTCCACATGCAAGTTAACAGCTCGACAAAAGGGAAGACAATATAGTAAATGATTCATCCAGCATGGTAGTCGATAAGAATGAAGACAGGGGGTGAAGATGACGTAAAATGTTAGAGATGTGTTGTTCAACCACAACCGTCAAGAGAAGCTCCGCCGCTCCTTCACCAGTGATTCTTCAGGTGTGTGGATCTCTATGGGAGCCTCTTACCAAACATCATCAGGCTGTTTTGACTGTGTTTTCTCACTCTTTTATATTTTTAATAAGAATCTATTTGTTCATGAAAAGTACTTGAAAGTAAGTCTCATTCAGATTTTTGCTCGTTAAATTAATATGGATGATTTACAATGAATTCCAGATGATCGACCTCAATGAAGCACAACCATCCATCCTTCCTTATCAAAACCATGCGCCTTGCATTACCCACAGTGCAACTGGACCTCTGTGTCGGTTGTGCATGTCGCTGCTAATTTAGCTTCAAGCAGAGCTGAGGAAGGATCTACTGTAGGTCCACTCATGTCACTGTGTTCAATCTCCCCTCCACAATATGGTTTTTACAACTTTTATTCCACATATACAATAGTATTCGCTAACAGCTGTAAGCAGGTGTTTGACCAGCTGTTAACAAGTGGACGCACCGGGCAGCGGGTCAGCGGAGAAGAGTAGGCAGCCAGGGGACTGAGCTGGCAAGACTACAGCACTTCAGCACATTGTAAAGTCTGTGCAGTGTTTGGCCGAGGAAACAAATCACGGTCCCAGAGTGTGGTGAGGAATTCCACCAAGTGGCACGACCCACTGCTGCACTGGCACATCCCATGACCTACAGCGAGATAACGACATTTTTCTGTTACAGAACGCCGACGTAGGAGTATAGAGGGAGGACAGAGGTGGAGATTTGCACGTGCACAGCGTTTCTATGTTAGTGACGCTCTCCCACAGTAGCTTGTGGTTTCCCTGGTGGTGTGAAGTATGTGTGTCACAGTGTGTGTATGTGTTTGTCTCACTCAAGATAAAGAAAGAAAGAAACATACGTTCCCTCATCTCGCTCACTCACTGTTCTCACATCTGTCTGTGGTGCTTTCACTGAGGTCTCCATCTTCCACCTATGTCTTTATGTTGCCTGGTGGTTTTGAGACACTCGTTCAAACTTCTCAGCATGAGTTGACCTCCTCATACAATAGTTGAGGTGTGTTTATCGTACAGGATAACTCCTCCTAAGATCTTCTGTGATTACCCTTCTGTACGTCTTTATTTCAAGATGCTGATAGTCAGGGGAAGTTTTGCTGTTTGGATATCTACAGGTCAATTAAGGGACAACTTAAGACATTAACCAGACAGAAAGACAGAAGTGAGTCTGCTTAACATCAGCTGTGTAGGAGACAAAAAGGAATTTGGTGAAGCATACACACTGGAAAGCTTTTGACCTTACAGTGTTGACATGAAACACCCTCAGAAGAATAGCAGGTGTGCATTCATCAGGGACAGTTCTCAAAGCAGACTAAGTCAGCCTTTATACCCTCGGGCGTGTTTGCCTCCATGTGTGTTTGTGTGGTAAGGGCTCTTACCCGTGTTGACTCAAGTTTGCTGCAGCCGTTTGATTAGTCAGCAGTCGGGGCCACAGGGGCACAGATGCTGCTACCTTCTGTTAGCCCAACAGTCAGCACTTAATGCTCCAATACGCCTCAAATACCAGCCGGGGAGGCCGAGCACACGATCCACTTGTCAGTATAAAGATCTGATCTCAAAGCGCGTCTGAAATCCGATATCAGTGCTCTTAATTCAGACTTTTTAAGCCACAGTAAATACCACTGGCTCTGCAGGTGGTAATGGTTTGAACTTTGGATAGTCTCCCTACATTCTGCAGAGGGGATGTGTGTGAGAACTCCAGTTTCCCATTGAGCGGCTCTGGACATTCTGTGGAGTTTCTCCTGCCATCAAATTTAGACACGTGTTTAACATTCGATTGAGTCCCACTGAATTTGGGACTGACTCTACTTCTCATACTGGTCACAGTGATGCATTTATGTTACCATGTTACATGTTAATCCAGTCATCATGGATTTATAGATGACAATTTTGAACTCCAGATTAAATAGAACCAGAACAACTATTAAACCGACCTCGAGATATTTCTCATCTGCTACTGTTCTATTGATTTCCTCTATAATTAAGATGTACTCGAATAAAACGCACAAGGCGACTCGCTGTGAAAGCCCTCGGTTGTTTACATCTCTGCATCCCTGTGTTAAATCAAACCAGCCCTTTCAGCAGCTTCTGTTTTTAATGTACTGCTGCTCCAGTGTCCTCACATCCCTCCGAGTGTTAACACAACACTGCAGATGTTCTCCAGGCCAGGTTACCTTTCACCTATTTACATCCACTCAGGCCACATCCCTGCAGTACGATGCATTTAATATGTGACATAATAACTTCCTGTTGACCCTCTTAATTCTCTCCTTATTAGCCTTAACCAGGAGACCCCCTGCCCCTCCTCCCCTTTACCTTAAGCTGGGTCAGTGGAGGCCCTATGATCAACATCACACAGTCCTTTAAGGACAAACAGAGTTTATCAGATGCAGGAGGAACTTTAGCTGCTGTTGACAACTTGAAAACACTGATGACTAAGTAGTTTCTGGCTCCCTCCCTCCTCCAGATACCAAACATCTGGTAACTGCCTCTATTAATTTCCTGGCAGTTTAGTGCAAAACAAGTCAAGGTGAGCAAGGAGTTGTCTTCCTGCTCTCTGTCTGTCTCTCGGTCTGTTATTACTCCCAGAGGCAGCCGTCCACTGGAGCTGATAGACAAAAATAGACTCCACATGAACTCAGTGGACTGTGTTTACCAGTGATTTAGCAGGAGGCAGTCTGAGTGAAACTGTTTCAGAGTTCCCCCGGTACTGAGCAGGGGTTCACTTGTGACTATTCCTGGACTCTGTTTACTCTGTATTGTGTTGTTTTCCCCTCCAGTGTGTTTACTTGACCTTTAATAAGTCCGCTGGCTTTCGATCAGCCGCTCAGCTCTGTCAGAGGGAGGGGTACAGCTCAGGCTGAACAAGTCAACAGGTTCTTCTCTGGTGTTGTTTCATCATCATGATTTTTGTGAAATTTAAAAAAGTCAAACAATCAAACCATTTTCCCAAACGGAATTCTTTTAATTACAAGCAAATGATGTGCATTCAATTCAAATAAATATAAATTAGTATTAGCAGCAAGATAGATGTAAAGCATCACATGTAAACCTGTACAGAATGGCCTCTCTCAAAGTGTATGTATCTGATTATCAGCAACTCAACAACTAGCAAACCAACATTTTTGTTGACTTTCTGAGTTATTGTTGCAACAGATGCTGATGGGGATGTTGCAGCATGAATTAGTCATGATGAGTCATTAGTTCTCCTGTGCGAACCATGACTGATAGTTCATTGTCATTTGTAACCTTTAGCTTAATTGCCAAGTAAAGCTTTAACATAAAAAAACTACCCATCTGCATATTGTTTCTGATTTCTTTCCCTCTCTCGTTTTTTTTTTTTTTGCATTATCCAGAAAACAGATCCAGCCTCATCTTCGCCAACACATCCACCTCTAAGAATGCCAGCTCACCTGAAGAGTACCTGGAAATGAATGGCTGGTCCATCTGCAAGGACCAGGACGAGATGTTGAACCTGGCCTTCACTGTGGGCTCCTTCCTGCTGTCCGCCATCACTCTGCCCATGGGCATCGTCATGGACAAATATGGACCGCGGAAACTGAGACTTGTGGGCAGGTGAGGCTGGATAAGAAAAAAAACTGTCATAATAAGTGTCAGGCAGTCTCGGTCAGTTTGGTTTGTTCATCACCTTCCTCTTATTGTTCTGTGTCCTCAGTGCCTGCTTTGCCTTTTCCTGCCTCCTCATCGCCTACGGAGCCAGTGATCCCAACAGTACGTATCTTCACTCGTGTCATAGCTCACACGTGAATGAATTGTCATCGTCATGTCCAGTCAGGTGCTAAGATTCCTCACACTCTGCTCTCAGTCATGTGCTTTCGCACGGGAGCATTAATCATACTACGCACAAACAGAGGCACATGCAGAGTATTTATTCACTCATATCCAACAGATATGAACGAGTGGGAGTCTTCTCGAGTCAGCAGAGTAGCCACATCTGACTGTGTCACTAACCCACTCTTTATTCTGCAGACCTGTCCATACTGATCTTCTTTGCTTTGGCGATGAACGGCTTTGGAGGCATGTGCATGACCTTCACTTCTCTGACGGTGAGTAGGAAAACTCATGGATGATGGTCACCACATGAACGTGTTTATAAGTGACCTTGATTGAAAAGTGTTTTATTATCCCAATAACAAGTGAAGGAAAATAATATCTTATCTCGAATGTGTTATGTGTTGATATTAAACAGATATTAGGCATTAAAAGCAAATGAACACACCAAGAAAGACTTCCCAAGGTGCACATGATTGCAGATTATAACATATATAGATTATATTTTAAAATTTAAGAAGCTTATAGTTGATATGTTGTTTCAAAGTTAGCCACATTAGCTTGGGAACAAACCAGACAGAGTATAAGATATGATAGATTTAATAGAAATAAATGAAATAATACCAATATTTAGTAATTATTATTAAGAGATGCAGTTACCTAGTCTTTATTTCAACAAATATAATTACTTATATGACAAACACATTAATACATGGAGTCGTTGCTGTGCTATCCAGAGGATTTATAGAGACCGACTAATGAAGGTTCAGGAAAAAAAAGAAAAATATCTCTGAAAAACTGGAGACAAATAAGACTGTATCTGTGTTTTTAATATAATGTCGATATCAGCCATCCGGACCAGATGTAATATGAGGGGACATCAGGAAAAAGCAGCGCACATGCAAAGGACGGAGAGGGAGGATATAGAGGAAAGATGGATGGAGGGGGAGAGATAAAGGGAAAGACGGCTGGGCAGATGAGACGACAGGGAGAAAGGGATGAGCGGAGCCTTGTAGAGGAGGAGAGGATTGAGGGATGGAGGGAGCCAGTGAACAGGATGATCTCATCAGTCGGAGAAATTGCTGCATCACAAGAGAGGACACGTGAGAGAGAGAGAGAGAGAGAGAGTCACAGAGTGGGTATATATTAGTAATTTATCATTTTACTCCCACAAGGCTAAAAAAAGACCTCATCACTATTTAATGCACAAAAACACATGTGGACATGTGGCGTGTTTGTGTCAATGCAGCTCTACAGATGTGTAATTGTTGTGTACCAGCACAATAGAGTGTTTGCTGCTGCGGTCGTGTCCGTGACATCAAAGACGGAGTGGACAATGTCTCTGTTGCTTTGTCATTGAACCGTCGACCAAGTGTCGTGTGACGCCTGAGCGGTCTGTTGTTTTATCACCAAACGCAGCGAGAGCAGAGACAGACTGTCACTGAGGACACACAAACAAGAAGTAGCGACAGGGGAACTTAGTGTGTGTGTGTGTGTGTGTGTGTGTGTGTCCACCCCACCCTTTTTTGGTGCTGTGCAGTTTCCTTTTCAGGCTGCATACTGGGACCCTGACTGTCTACCCCCCCCCCCCTCCCTAACCTGTTTCCCAGTCTTTAGTCTTGGCCTTGTTGTTTTTGTCTTCTCCAGTGTCAGTTGCTCTCGCTCGACAAGGCCAGACCTGCACACAGCTGCCAAAACTATGACGAGCGGCATGTGCACACACGCAGCAGCGCTGTGTCTTACTGTATGTCAGCGTGAGCCTGTGTGTTCCACTGCGTGTTGTTTTAGCTGCGGAGCACCTGAAAACCCTCAGAAAGCCGAGCGGGCCTCAACAAATGTTTCATTAATGCCACTGCATCAGAGTGTGTGTGTGTTTGTTTGTGTGTGTGAGAGAGAGAGAGCTTGATGGAATAAGTTCTGTTGTGTGTCTGACTTGCTCAAGCTTTTCCTCTTCCCCTGCCCTTTCCTGAGACTCTGGGTCAGAGGTTGTCACTGAGGAAAACAAGTATTTTAAGAAACCTGTAACCTTTTTCCTGAGTGGGACGGAAAGCTCAGACGCATCATCTCAGGCACCGTGAAACTCGGCAGGTCAATGTGACCCACCAAACTCGCCAAGTGTGTGTGTGTGTGTGTGTTTTGTATGGGACTAGAACCGGAGAGATCTTTCGTCTTGTTCTTGCACCTCTGAGCTTTCTGTCTTTGTGTTCACTGACGAGCCTAAATTGGACAATTTCCCCTCTTTCTTTTGTCAAACATCTTCTCTTTATCTTTCCCTGCTTCACTTCCTCATTCTCTCCTGTGGATGCACACTCAGCACTCACTGTTGGAAAACAGGGAGTGACTTGGAGGAGGGGGGG